TGTGCTCGGCGGGGCTTCATCTTTGGCTAAGCTCGACGCCCCCACGGTACCTATCACACCGGCCCTCTTCAATATATGTATAATCTCCTGTTTCCGTTGCCTTTCGGATGTCTCACGGTGCAGACATGTCTTTGCAGGCCGACGTAACCCCGTGCACCATATTGTACACCATCAGCGGCCAGAAGGTGGACGTGGGAAATGCGACGATAGTGAAGCCGAAAGAGGAATTGTTCCACAGCCGACCGATCCCCCCTGACGTCTTCAAGGTTTCCGTGGCCAGTGTCAAACCGGTCCACGAGAATTTGGCTCCTCCGGTAGCACTAGGGGGAGATGACGATGAGACCCCGCGATGGCTTAGCGATTGCAGGAGTTGGGTCCTGTTGTGGCCGAAGAGTCTGCTTCGTCTGGAGGCGGCCGGGAGAACACCCACGACCAAGTAGCCTCAGCAAGGTATGAACACCAACACCCCACCTACCCAATTAGTGTCGCATGTCCTGCCGGGTGAGGAAGAGGCTCCATTAGTGGTTGATGACATCGACGTCGTCGAAGAAGCAATGCACGATGCCATCAACGAGGATGATGACCCTCTATAGTATCTCAATACCGGCGTCTATGGCGACGGAGGATTGATGGCTCGGCAGTATGAGTACTCAGGGTTTGAGCGTGATGAGTTGGTGCCTAAATTGCCAGAGGATGAACGTATGATAGGCTCACCTCCAGTAGCAAAGAAGCATAGGAAGAGACCCAAGAAAGGCAAAGCTGCTTCTATGAGTCGGCCGCCTCCGCAACCTCGGGTTGAAGACCGTATAACTATCATAGGTGCAGCAAAATACCATATCCCCGGTGATCCGATCCTACCTAAGGTAGCGGTAGAGGCCATATACGACGATCTAAGGAGACTTCATGACGATATGTTGCAGAGAGAGAAAAGCCTGATCGCCTCAAAAAATCTAGGATACCCGCTCTACGTGGTTAACGTGTCGCAACAAAGGTTATATGTCGACACATTCCCCGCGGAAAAGTTCTTCCTTCGATTCGATTACATCTTCGACATGTTTCACTTGAAAAAGCTGGATTTTATGCTTGTCCGCCTTTTTGCCTTGTACATGAACTACATCATCAGGATTGAGCAAATACCTTATATCTATGTCGCTGGCCCATACTTCATGCACGAGGTCTTCTTGGCATTCTATCAAGAGCACCGTGAATAAGCAAGGAACTACATCACCAATTTCATGGTCGGCAATAAGGACAAGGAGATGATTCTCCTGCCTTATCATCCCATGTAAGTCATCCGCGGATATCCTTCCTTCAATTTCAATCATTCATTTGCACGCGTGGAGGCTAATTTGAGGTGTACTTACTTTGCGCAGTGACGGGCACGCCATCCTCATCATCATTTACCCCCGATTCTCCCATGCTCTTTACTTGGATTCGTCGAAGAACATGAAGAAAAAGGATTACACCCACATCAAGTCTGTTCTTGACAGTGCTATCATAAGCTACAACCTACGGGGTGGAGAGATCATGATCAAGAAGACAAGGAACCGCGCGCCCTGCTTCAGCATAAGACCGACTTCTTCTGCATCCAGCAACCGAGAGGTACTCTCGGTGATGGATTCTATGTCCTCCACCACATGCTGGAGTACAAACGGGATCACCAGAACCTTCGCATGTCACCTAGATCTGGCGATGCCGATATTCTGCAATGGGCAAAGAATCTAGGAAATGTCCCGGATCATCGACTCTGAGCTAAGTTCTATCACATCCAGCGTGAACTTGCTCAAATCATCATCAAGGCGGTCCTCGAAAAAACAAGGATGTTCTAGAAAGAAGGGCAAATGTCGCGGGAAGACGTCCAAACAGGCGTCCGCTCAACGTCTCGACCTGAAGCCTTTCACTTCGCTCGGGGACTTCCTCCCTGATTTAGATGGTTGGCACGACATGTTGGATTGATTGACGATGACAATGTGTTCGTTTAGTCACTACTTTCTCTATGATGAATCTTTGAATTTATGCACAACAAAACTTTGTGATGTACTTAAACCGTCCTCCTCAACTAGTCTAGAGGAACTCTAGTTAGGGTAGTTTGGGTATGATGAACTTTGTTATTATGTTTACGATATGTTGCTTCTATTTTTGCTAGCTCTGTCTCTTTCTGTTGCTCAACTATATATTATGTTGCATATTGTCGAATCATGTGACAATGCAGCTACATAGCTCATCGATGGCGAAGAAGTGCTACGCCGTGAACGTAGGGAAGGTTTCAGGAGTATACGACGAGTGGCCTAAGTGTCAGGCCCATGTGTATCGGTTTCCGAGCGATAGCCAGAGAGGGTTCGATGGCAGCGCCGAAGCGGAAAATAGTTAGTTTAGGTTCACGCTAGTGCGAGAGAAGGATTCGAACCGGCGCCTCAAGAAGTACTACATTATGTATGATGAGACATGTCAGTTAACTTGTATCGCTATATCATGATTATGATGTGACGACATGATTTGTGTTGGATGATATGATGAGACTATTATGTGTGCATATTGCATGTTTATGATACGATTAGAATACTGCATAGAACCTGTACAAAACATCGCAAATACGTACCCAAAAAATGTGAAAATATAGTAGTAGCACTCTTTAGCAGGAAGCAGCAGCGCAGTAAACAAGCGCTACAGCTAATTAGCAGGAGCGCTGGACAGGAAAACACTACTGCTAAGCCACTTAGTAGTAGCGCTGGTTTGGACAATGCTACTGTTAAGTAGGTATAGCAGTAGCGCCTTACTAGTAGCGCAGGTGTCCGTGCTACTGCTAGGCATTTGACCTATGCTACTGCTAGGCTTTTCCCTAGTGGTGGAAGCACATGGAGTATTTTAACAAATCACGATAAATGTGTGTCCATCTCAAATAGGTGTGTCCAACAAGGATGATTGTGACAAACTAAAAGGCAAACAAAGCAAAGACTCATATAATACACAACGCTTCAAACAAAACTCATATCATGTGATGCATAAAAATATAACTCCAAGTAATGCTACAGATGGTTGGTAGAAAAAAGAGGGGATACCTTCCAGGGCACCCCCAAGCTTAGGCTCATGGGAGCCCTTGAATATTACCTTAGGGTACCTCGGGCATCCCCAAGCTTAGACTCTTCACACTCCTTATTCCTTCATCCATCATGGTCTCACTCAAAACTTGAAACCTTCAGCACACAAACTCAACAAAACCTTTGTGAGATCCGTTAGTATAATAACCAAATTACAAACTTTAGGTACTATTGTCAATCCATCCATATTTTATTATTGCATTATACCTACTGTATTTCAACTTCTCCATGGCTTATACCCCGATACAATCCATAGTTTCATCAAAACAAGCAAACAATGCAACGAAAACAGAATCTGTCAAAAATAGTCTATAGTAACCTGAATTATGACTATACTTCTGTAACTTTGGAAATTCTAAAAAAATAGGATAACGTGGGAAGTTTGTATTTAAACAATTCTTCTATTGGGCGCAAAAGTTTTTATTTTTTTCACAGAATCAAATCAACTATCATCCAAATCATCCCAAAGGCTTTACTTGGTACAAACACTAAATTAAACACAACCATAACAGTAGCATGACTATGTGCACACTTAAAAATAGAAAAAGAACAAGAAAATTAAAGATAACTATTGGGTTGTCTCCCAACTAGCACTATTGTTTTAAGCCCCTAGCTAAGGCGTAATGCATAGTTTCAAGTGTTGTCATCTTTCAAATTGATTTCATAGGTGGCCCTCATAATGGATTCATATAGTGGCTTAATTTTCTTTCTAGGGAAGTGTTCCATACCCTTCTTTAATGGAAATTGAAATCTTATACTGCCTCCGTTTCTTTTTACTCCGCATATAAGATTTGGTCAAAGTCAAACTACACAAAGTTTGACCAAATTTATATAAAAAAATATGAACATCTACAATACTAAAACAACATAGTATGAAAATATGGTGCATCTGATAATATTGATTTCATATTGTGAATGTTTATATTTTTTAATATAAAGTTAATCAAACTCTACAAAGCTTGACTTTGACCAAACCTTATATGCGGACTAAAAAGAAACGGGGGGAGTATTTCCTTCTGTCATATCAATAATCACACCTATGGTTCGTAAGAATGATCTACCAAGTATTATGGGACAAGACAGATTGCAATCAATATCAAGAACAATGAAATCAACGGGCACATAATTTCTTATCATTAATTTCATCATCTTCCAAGATTGGGCAACATGTTCATGTTCAAGTTGCTTAAAATTCATAATTTAATTTCTAAGAGAAATAATTTTCGCGGGAGAAAAATACTTGGCAATAAAAGCATTTTCACACTTATCCCAAGAATCAATGCTATTACATGGTAAAGATGAAAACCAAGTTTTAGCGCGGTCTCGTAATGAGAATGGAAATAATTTCAATTTGACAATATCATTATCCATATCTTTTTTCTTTTGTGTGTCACACAATTTAACGAAAGTGTTAAGATGGCATGCAACATCTTTATTAGGACTACCAAAAAATTGTTCTTTCATAACGAGATTTAGCAAAGCGGCAATAATATCACACGACTCCGAACTAGTGGCGGGAGGAGCAATCAAAGTACTAATAAAACCATTATTATTAATATTAATAAAATCACACAACTTAGTGTTTTCTTGAGACATCGTGAATAGGGAAACAAGTAGACAAGCAAACCTTCCGGTTGACTATATCATATAAACACCAGGTTTCTTTTAACATAGATTGTCTATTCACACTGTAATGTTCCGGCGGTGACATCTCAGCCTGTCAGCCACATATTCCAACAACTGCGATGACTTGTGTTCTACACAGAAAAAAAAATCCATGTAGCGAGAGGCTAGAAAGGGAGCCTCTGGCATGAGTTCGAGACAGGCCTCCCCGCAGCCGATGTATGGGAGATCTATGGAGGCCTCCGTATTGGCCAGTTGGCCCCTGAATTGCTTCCCGATATGCTCAAAAAGGTCGAGCTTGTTGATGGAGATGGCGGCGTCGGAACAGTTTTGCATCTCACCTACTCTCCTGGTTAGCACCTGAACACAAACACTTCAGTTATGCCTTTTCTTGGCTTTCACAATATATGCATCAGCTTCAGGTAATTTCATTTTGGTGATTGATGTTGCTAGGAATTCCTGGATTTGAATATCAAAAAGAAAAGTTCATCAAGATTGACAATGAAAACTATGTCAAAGAGGCACTAGTAGTAGAAGGAGGCGTTCTAGATCATGGATTTCAGAAATGTTTGGTACGATATGAGATTATAGGGCAAACAGATGAGACATCCACAATAAGATCAACCATTGAATATGAAATTGATGACGACAAGACAGATAACGCTTCCTTCGTCAGTACCAGTGGTGTAGCTCATATTGCTGAGGCCATCACAAAGTATATCAAGGCACAGAAAAAGCGTTGAGCAAGCTCGTGAAGAAACGTTGTAAGAACAAAGCATTTCCCACAATGTAAAATAAGTTCAGAGCAACTTCCTTTATAGCTTGTTATTCGCTGTATTGCTGTTTGTAGATCTTGGACTTGTTATTCACTGTATATATATTGGATGGTTATATGATCTTGGGCGGTTGCGATTTACAGTCATGTGTAGTTGATGATTTCGATGGTTCTCAACAGGATGCAACTTTGGGGACACAATAATGGTGCATCAAGCATCAAATGAGTGTGATGCGGGGGAGGGAGGGGGGGGGCGCTCCACCTGATTATATTTCTCAATTTTGTAACCCAACGTTTGCCTGATTACAAAGGTGAATTACATAAGCACGTGTAATCGTGATAAGAAATAGGAATGCCATAAGGAGGCGGCCTGTTTGTGCGCCGGCTTCTTGATCCGGTGCGTCCAGAGTATGAGGTCGTCAATGATTCGCTTAAGGGTGAAGATGATGTGATGGTAAAAAGGGTCAATTTCATACTCTTGGGAAAATAGATAGCTGATAAAACAAAATCCCAGTCTATATCCTTTTGCAAGAAGCCCAGGTTGCCAAAGTTCCCGTCTGAATGAATTTCACGATCAACCTTCAGCAGGAATTCTTGGGCCTAATCTAATTATGTACATCACATATTCACATCCAAATTCCAAAATATGATCTCACATACAAGGGGCACATACAAGTTTGCATGAAGTATTGCATCTTTTTTGTTTCTAAACTGACTTAACTCTATGCATTTATTTAAAAAAAGATATTTCAGTATAAAATACTTAAAATATTGTTTTAGAGAAGGTAGAGCTCCCTACCTTATATTCAGAAAAGCCACAGGGGGTGGGAAGCACAAAGAGGGGCACAGACTGGGGGTCTGGGAACAGCCAAAAGATGGAACGAAGAACCAAACGAACGAGAACAGAATAGAAACCACAAAAGAACTGGCCGAAGGCTGAATTGAAAACTGGAAAATATGCCCTATTCGACTGTAAATTTGTTGACCCAGGCAAGAAGCGTGGTCTTTTCTGAATCCTTCCTTGAAGGGCAGTTCCACAGCCTAAGGTTGTCACAAATCCTGACTTTGATCACCACAGTGGGAGTCTGTATTCTGTTGAAAACGGTGTCATTTCTAGTCCGCCAAAGTTGAACACCACAATCTGCAAACATGACTGGCCAATGACCAGAGCGATGCTGCGAATGAGTATACTGGCGAAGTAACTGCTTGCTGCTTGCTAGGGATTCCTGGCCTGGAGAAATTCAGCAAGGTCGACAATGAAAACTACATCAAGGAAGCAGAAATGATCAACGGAGACATTCTGAAGCTCGGGTTCCTCTATTACATGGTCAGGTTTGAATTCATTGGGAAAGGACCCAGTTCTTGAGTAATAAGATCGACTATTGAGTATGAGATTGATGAAGGGAACCCTGAGCTTGAAGGTATGGTTAGTGCCGCACCTATGGCTGCAACTGCTGAGAAAATTGCAGGATACATCAAGTAGCAGAAGATTGCTCAGGGCAGGCCTGGCGCAGTGGTGAAGTCCTCCCCACTTGTGCCAAGAGGTCCTGGGTTCGAACCAGCCTCTCTGCATTGCACTTTGCAGGGGTAAGACTAGGTTCCTATAATCCCTCCCCAGACCCCACCTTGTGTGGGAGCTTCTATGCACTGGGTCTGTCCTTTTTAATAACTCAACGCAAAATGTGTCTATACTGACAGATAAAAGTCTGATTCCACGTTATTTTCCTTGCACAAATATTATGTGCGAATTTGAGAGCCAGATCAGACTAATGATGAAACATAATAGGATAGTATGTTTGAGCATATGAACGCCACCCATAGTGATACACAGATATTGTGCGGTCCATGTACCTTAACTTCCTATCGTTAATGAAGCTAGGGTAACTCTTTTTGATGATAAAATTTACCTTAAATTTCATGATGTATCATCACATACTAGGAAACGAGTCTCATTCATAGGCATTTTGTTCTTAAGGCCAGTTAAGCCAAACGAGGACAAGATATAACTTAGATTGATGGTGACATGGCACCTTATGGTTGGTTACATCATATAGACAATTAAAGCAGTGCAGCTGCCTTTCCTCGAAAAAGATACTCGTGCATAGGCATTTTGTTGTTATTATGACCAGTCAAGCCAAATACAGATAAGATGTAACTCAGATTGATGGCAACCTGGCAGGCCTGGCACCTTTTTTTTTTTGCGAAAGCAGGCCTGGCACCTTATTTTTAACTATATCATATAAACAGCGCATTGTCTATTCAGACTTGTCATGTTCTGGGGGTGTCACCTCAATCTGTCAGCCACATATTCTAAGAATGTAATGACCTATAAATATGTGTACCGAGAAGCTAGAACTCACCGTGCAATCTTTGGCATTCCACCCAGAGCTCATAGAAGCAATGAAAGGTAGCCTTTGCCATGACTTCGAGACAGGCCTCCCCGCGGCGGAGGTATGGGAGATGTATCGAGGTCTCCGTATTAGCCAGGTTGTTCCTCAATTGCTTCCCGATATCTTCAAAAAGGCCGAGCTTGTTGAAGGAGATGGCGGTGTTGGGACAGTTTTGCATCTCACCTTTTCTCATGGTTAGAACCTGAACACATGCACTTCAGTTATGCCTTTTTTTTGGCTTCGTAATATATGCATCAGCTTCAGTAATTTCAATTTCTGTGGTCCGTGTTGCTAGGGGTTGCTCCATTAGAATATCAAAAGGAAAAGTTCATCAAGATTGACCATGAAAACTATGTCAAGGAGGCCATAATAGTAGAAGGAGGCCTTCTAGATTATGGATTTCAGAAATATTTGATGAGAATTGAGATTATAGGGCAAACCGATAAAACATCTACAATAAGGTCAACCATCGAATATGAAGTTGATGACGAGAAGACAGGCAACACATCCTTTGTCAGTACCAGTGCACTAGCTTGCCTGGCTGAGGCAATCACAGAGTATATCAAGACACAGAAAAGCGCTGAACAAGCTTGTGAAGAAACAGCATAAGAACAAAGCAACCCCCACCCCCAAGTGTAAAACAAGTTCAGAGCAATTTTCTTTATATCTTGTTATTCACTGTATTACTTTTTATATTTCTTGGATAATTATACGATATTGTTGCCATTTGCCGTCATGCATAGCCAAGTATATGATTTCGATGGTTCTCAAAAGGATACAATTTTGGGGATGCAATAATGATGCGTCAAATGGGTGCAGTGCTAAAAGGGTTGATTTTAAGTTTTTGGAAAAAGAATGGCTAGATGATAAAACAAAAGCCCAGGCTACCCATTGCCAGAAGCCCAGAGTACCAAAATTTCCATCTGAATGGAACTTTGCGATCTACCTTCAGCAGAAAATATTGAGCCTAGGCCAATCATTTACATCACAATATTCACATCCAGAATATATCACATACACAAGCTTGCAGTGAGTATTACATATTTGTTTGTTCTAAAATGGCTTGATCCAATGTTCGTAGTATAAAACACTAAACAAAATTTTGGGGGAAGAAACCTGGATGCATTGCTTTTTGCGTCAAGAGCAATGGCTCCACCTAATACGCACATGGAACAAACTCAGCAAGCGGCCTTCTTTTGTGAGAACCAAGGTTCAAGCCCTTAGTCCTACTCGTGGAGGTCTTACCACCGTGCTATTCTCGGTATAAAACATTTTAAAGTGTTCAATTATTTAAAGGATAAAACACTTCAAAGAAATGCAATACTTGAGATGCTAAGCTAAATGTAGAGAAACAATAGTGATGCAAGAAATTAAAGGCAGTAAAATTCAGGAACTAGAAAGTGGCAAGAGAAGATACAAAAAACTTTGTTTTGGTGCTCAGTCATTCTATATCTTGTATAAAAGGAACACCTCATGGGAGCTCCCCAATTGGTAAACAAGACACCCAGCAGTAGAAAACAAATACTCAGCCAACACAGCATCCTTGGAAGGCATAATACCCATCGCCTCCAACACAAAACGCCTCCTTGAGTAGCAGTTTCACCAGCTTCAAGCCAGCTTTTGTATTATCAATGTATGCCATACAACAAACTATTCAGAACACTTATCCATCTAGACCTTAAAGGACAGACCCAGTGCATAGAAGCTCCCACACAAGGTGGGGTCTGGGGAGGGATTATAGGAACCTAGTCTTACCCCTGCAAAGTGCAATGCAGAGAGGCTGGTTCGAACCCAGGACCTCTTGGCACAAGTGGGGAGGACTTCACCACTGCGCCAGGCCTGCCCTCTTATCCATCTAGACCTTGGCAACACTTAAATATTTAACGCTTTAACCTACTGCAGCACAACAATGGTCTCCACGCAGACCACACTGTTTCTGCATCTCTGCATGCAGATGGTTGGTGGAAGTCTGAGCCATTCTGTAGATTTACCTTTCCAGGCTCATTGTGTCCATCGACACTGTAGAAACAGCCAACAAGGCAGTGAATGACAAAGTCCTTTGGTGTAGTGGAGTGCTTGCACAACTCAGTTGTGGCCTTCTCAGGTCACAGGCATCTTGAGGCTGAATTTTGGAGTACATTGGAGGAATTGAAGTTTGGGTGTTTTTACCCTTTGGAGTAATAAAATAGTTGCAGTGGCATTTTTCAAAGTTTGGAAATTGCAGTGGCATTTTTATGAATCGCCATAATCGGAGTGGCATTTATCTAATTAACACATAGAAATATGACATAGGAGTAGTATTTTTACGGACATACCTTGGCAGGCCAAGTATCAGCTTCCTTCAAGCTCAAATTGGATTCAAGTTGATGCACTCAATGCATAAAAGAACCTGCAAGACCGAGAAGCATATTAAAATCAGTATGGGCTGCATAAAACTATGTGGAGTTGAGGTCTGTACTTGAAAAGCGACTATGTGCTTTGCTAATTATAAGATGGCAGGGGAAAAGCAGAGTTAATTGTTCAAACATCAAGGAAGCACTGTGGTTTTCTCAAAGTGCAATTTGGCAGTGTTAGCACA